TCCAAGGGATTTTTCATGGAAGATATGTTACTACTGCTTTATAATAAATTGCCCTATCTGGAAGTAGGTTTTTCCCAACAAAAAACCCTAGTAAAGTCACTGATTTCAAGTGATGTGCAGCCCGTTAAGTGAATCTGATAGAACAGTAAGTAGGTATGCAGACTAGATAGTCCCTAGAATAACAAATACAGAAATGGAGCAAAGCCTGCTGATCTGTACCTCACATGGGTAAAGGCAGGTTGCAACTCACTGCCTGTCAGTGTGTTGGCAGGGCAGCTGATATTTCATTTGTGCTCCTGGGACAGAGCAGAATCAGAGCAGTTGCAGCATCTGATGAATCAGGAGAAATGTTTCATTTTAACTGAATATTAACAAAAAGCCTACTACAGAAGTATGAAAATCAATATTATTATTATGACCAAATACTTTCCAATGGCAGCATGGGCGCAGTAATTTTGTATTAAGAGGTTAAAAAAAAAAAATTCTGTTTGAGAAGTACCTAAGTTATCCTTTGCATATCAAAAGTGTGTGCCAAACAAAAAAGGCTGAGTTCTTAGATATACATTTAGCCAGGACAGATGTTAAGTATAGTCCCACTGGACCCAGTTCTTATATGTAGAAGGACTCTATCCTGGCTTTCCTTGTGAAGAGACTTTAAAACCAGTGTTTTTTTAAAAAAAGGTAGTTAAAACGTTCACAGGAAGGGACTTGAGCACTGCTGTAGAAATAACCAGGCCTCACTGTTAATGAGAACTAGTGCATTATTTTGTCAGTCGCTCCGTTTGATTTCAAAGGGATAAAAATTACCAGCCAGGGGTTATGAAAATCTAAGTCTCCTTAGTTGCGAGGTCTGCAGGCTCTTTGTCCTCAGTCAAATTTCTGTTTTGATACAGAAAATATCACTGATGTATTTTGCACTGGTATGAGTTTCAAAGAAGGATAACTCATACTGAAACTTTTGCGCAGCACTTCCGTGCTGAGGCAGTAAAGGAGAGTTATTGTGCAGGGAAGCTTCCAATTAAGCAGAAAAAGGAGTTGGTTTGCTTTTTGAAATAACATTTGACGCATACACATTGAAATATGAAAGCTATTAGTAGGAAGTTAATCAGCTCATTCACCTGGTTTCAGGTTGTATCAGCTAGACAGCATTCGTAGTTTGTGCTGTGAAGTCTTCAGGCAGCTACCATATATTAAAGGTACTTATGAAAGGACTGTGTCTTGCTAATAACCCTGACTCCATTGGTCCACTTCACCTTTCATCTCAGTCTTTGTTTACACAACAGCAAGTTAACTTGTGTACTTTAGATACTGGCGTAGCTGAAGAGCAGTAGTATTTCATTATTATTTTTACTGGAGGAGACATAGCTGTAATGGATGCATGTTAAACAATGAACTGTGAAATTTCAGCAGTATTTTACTGTAATTTAGAGGTAAATATTTGAAATTGTACCTTTTAATGAATACTTTCTTTAACTGTAAAATTATAAAACCCCATGGATTTATTTGTTTATTAATTTAATCATCAGGGCTGTTCCCTGGCACAAGCCCCTTTTACTAAGCCTTTAGGAAAGGTAATACTTTGCAGCTCTGGCTTACCTTGCCTTGTCCATTCCTGAAGTAACATTAGATAATTAAATTGTCTGTGCTGGAGAACAAGGCTTTTTAGGCATTCTTGGTTTTGTCTGGCTTTAGATCTTAAATCTGGAGTTGAAAAGAAACATCTTTTTTGTTTGGTTAGCTGCTCCTCCCCCTCTCCCCACTCAGAAAGTCTTTGTTTGTTTGTTTGGGTATTTTTAATTGGGTTTTTTTCACTAAGGTTTGAGGTTTTTCTGCCCTGTGCTAGCTCTAAAACAGAGAAAAGGTTTAGTACTTAAAGTAAGCTCAAAATATTTTGCAGTTACATTGCAGTCATATAGTTTCCAGCGCTGAAAAGCAAACCGCTTGCTTAGTCACCTTTCAGTACATGTTCTTATAAGGAGTTATTTTAATAAATGAGTATTAGTGTATAGTGTCAAATGGTAAATACAGAGCTATAAATGGTGAAAAACACACATGTCGTTACCTTCTTGTAGTCGTGTATGCCACCTGTTTAATAGGTCCATAGCTTCTGGTATGTCTGTGCTGCCATCACCCTCAAAGACAGGAAAACATTTTAAACACAGTCAGGGACTTTCATGTAGAGAAGAAATGTATTTAAAGACTTTGTGAGTGGATGTTTAGTTTGAAGTGTGATTAATTTCAGCCTGTGGATAAAAACTTTTAGTTTTCAGAGAAGAGTAAGGGAAGGTGAATAAGGACATCAAGGCTCTTATTTTGTTATTAGGAAATAATAAATAATACTGGAGAACTGCTTGCAAACCTACTAGAAAAGGCAGTAGGAGAAATAATTGGAAAACAATCTTCTCAAGGCACTGAAGTGATAAAGAAGGCTGGTTTGGTGGTATCTGGAGTGGGCATCAGACAGCAGAGTTCTTGGAAAACCAGTAAAATCTTCTTATTACTCAGTCTTTACTTTTTTTGTGCACCCTTCTATTTGATAATGGTCTCACAGATTAGCCGTGCTAAATGTAAAAGCTGCTAATCAATAACGCGAAGATGTGACTAAAATTAACAGTCATCCCACAAGCCTGCAGCTTAAACAAGGAGCAGGAATCAAATGACTGAACAAAAGTATAATAAACATATCAAAGCAGCTATTTACCTGGAATTAAAGCCAGTAGGAAAAATTAATTAATGCTGACTTTAAATAGATACAAAAGTTATTTGAGGTAAAACATGCTATTGTAGCAGATTCTGTCTGTTGCAAGAGAGGAGCAGACTATCGATGACTTTGTGGTGAGCATTTTCATGTCATCTTTGCCACCGAACTGTGGTGCAGGAACTGCTTGAATTCCTGACTGAAGGGTTTCAGCATCTCTTTAGCTACCAGTTTATTGAGGAATAATACCTGCTCATTTGTGGCCTCCAAAATATCGAAGATAAGTGGGTGATGTAGCAGGTAAAACATATTAACTCCATAGCTTTAAATACAGCAGGAGTAAAAGGAAAGACTTTAGACTTGGTAAGAAACTCACTACCTTCTTTAATGTTGTCATCCTGAAACTGAAGCTGTCATTCCTGAATACTGAGAAACATGTCAAAGGAAGGGGTTTTGCCTGTTTTCTCAGACAGCGAAAGCAAAACAGAGAAGAAAAAAACCCCCATATGCCTTTCTACTGCAGTCTCTTTACATATCTCTGTTATGGACCTTTTGAAATGATATAAAAGAAGATAATGGCTAATCAGATCCTTTAAGTATAATGTGGGAGTTTGAAAGGGAAACCACAAACTCTTTATCAATTCCAATGAGCTTGTGTTCACTGTATTGGAAGAAGAGCTTTATGCCCTGATTTTTTTTATCATTACTCCATAATGTTCTTGGCAAGATTGTAGGAACCTTAGTATCTTCTTCAGTGCATCTGCAGTGGTTTTAGATGTAATTTCCAGCTCATGCATGTGAAGTGAAGTTGCAGAGGTATGGCATATAAGGCACACCTGCCTTCTGCTGCCCTCCTGGCAGGACTGTAATGCTGGCAGTGATTTAAACCACTGCAGTAAGAATTGCTTGTGGACATCTGTAAGAGCTCTTTTCCTCCCTCTCTTTCCATTTGAATCCACAGGCACATTTTGGACTTTACACTAGACGCATGAACCACTTTCATAAAAACATAGCATTAATTTTGTCGAGCAAGGGAGTAATCATTTTAAAGTAATTGAAAAAGGCTTTGGAGAGACATGACAGATCACAGAACGTGTTTGTTTTTCACAAGATCTGTGCTTCAGGCCAGTGAATTCAACCTCAGAAAGTCCCACCAGGATTTGACCAAGGCTCCATAATAGGTGATGCACTGAAAAAATGAATGAGGCTGCTTACATCTGAAACTTGATGTTTAAGACCTTGTTGAACTGGGGCCCTACTTGGTGAAAACATTTCAGCTTCTAAAGCCCAGCTGCAGTAAAGCACTTAGGCAAGTGGCCAGCACAAGTATATGCTTGTGCCTTATTGATTTGCACAGTGGGACATAAGCAGATGATTGGAGCTGACTGCCTGCCCAAGAACACTGGAGCAGACTGAGTGTCCTCAACAAATGTTGACATAAAGTATGGTTTTGATAATTTTTCACAAAACCTGTGTAAGTTTGTCAGGGGTTTTCCTCTAAAAAAAAAAAAGGGGGGTGGTGGTGGTGTTTGGTTTTATGGACCAAATCCCCACTGTATAGGGCAAATATGAAGGATTAACATCAAAATCGGTTTTGGGGGGTGGGGTGGGGTGTGAATGCATGGGGTGAAGGGAGAGAGTAACATGTAGAGTTTCTGTTAATTATTTTTTTTCATCAAACAAGTCTTTTCAATTAGTCTTACTTAAAGCACAAATTTGCTTATTTCACAGTTTAATGGTATAAGATTTTTCTCAGTGTTTGCTACTGCCCAAAGCTTGTGGGCCCAACCCTCACTCACATTGATTCTCTTCATACCACTCTACCAATGCAAAGCAGCCTTTAAAAAGGGATTTCAAGTAAAGTATAATGTAAGCAAACGATTTGGTCTGAAGCAAAGATCTTAACATCTGTCCAAGTCCAATTGTTATGATCAGGTCTAAATACTCATAAGGATTGGACCTATACTAAAAATAAGTGCAAAACCATAGAGATAAATACTACAAAACCACAGTTATGGATCTAAATTTTGAGCAGAGCTCATGTTTTATGAAAGATAAAACCTCTGAGGTGGAGAACTTTAAGAAAATCAGGCTGCATTAATCACCTTAAGGAAAGAGTCTCAAATCACTACTGGAGGCTCTGCCCATTGTGCAAAAGAAACAGCCTCTGACTTTAGCAAGTGCCATGTGGTTGTGAGGGCTGTACCTATGTAAGATGGCACTGTTAGAAAGAGCAGGATAATGGGCTCCATGCCTCTTCCGATGTTTCTTGACAGCTCTCTCCCTTCCATTTTCCTTCCAGGTGAACGCCCCTTCCACTGTAACCAATGTGGAGCTTCTTTTACCCAGAAGGGGAACCTGCTGAGGCACATCAAGTTGCACTCTGGGGAGAAACCGTTCAAATGTCCCTTCTGCAGCTATGCCTGCCGACGGAGGGACGCCCTCACAGGACACCTCAGGACGCACTCTGGTGAGCCCGCCTTGTCTTCTCTTCCTTCTCATTTCTTCCTTCGTCGTTACAGTTCCAGGTGAAGCAGATTGTGAAAATAACTGTGTGTTCCTGGTGGTTCTGGGTCTGTACCATGCTCTTCAGATAACACAGCTCGGAACTTTGGGAAAGCCTTGATGTGAATCAGAAAAGTTGTGGTTCAGCCACACCTCTCTTTTTGTGTAACTGAGCTCCTCTGCTGATGCTATCGCATTTCCCTTTGAATGTCTCCTTGGGTGTATCCAGGCTTGCTGGCAGATTGTTTTGACACTCTCAGCCCCAAAGTGGCTGTGAAATTCCAAAGATCACAATGAATAACTATGTGCTCTTGGAAGCCTCCTTTGCAGTTCATACCCATTTCTTCATCTAATAAATGCCATATGCTGGTGGAGTTCATACTTGTTCATCTTTCAAAACCCTCCTAGTTGCATTTTTGATTCAGTTACATCTTGCTGTAAAGTCCTAATTCATGGCAGCCACAGCACTCACCCTAGAGCAGAAGGTGACGGAGAGAGATTGGGTTTGGTTTGTCTTGCTACTTGATAGAATTATGTCTCTGTCAAGTCTACTTGATAGAGTTTCTCGATATCTTCTAAAAAAATACCTGTCGCATAACTCAATGTTAGTAGTCATGTTGGTAGCTCTGATGATCAGGATCAGATGTTTTTCTAGTCCCCGTATGCTACACCAAGGGGCCACATTCTGCCCACTTACTCATTTGTGTAGGACTCTTGAGTAAGATCTTAACTTGCTGTGGTTTTTATCTCCTAGGATGTTCAACTTTTGTGTCCAGGCTATTTATAAGAGACTGTATTTTTCATTGTTGAATGAGCAGAGATAATTGGGCTGGTTACAAGTGACAGCATTACAGATGAACTTTTTTGAGGTGTTAGCAAATGTGTGACTACTGAAACACAGTGGTTGAAGTGCAGCTGCAGACAGAAACTCTGCATGTCAAAATGTAATCATGGAGCTTCCTGACTCTTTATACACATTTCTTCTACAGGGTCAGGCTCACTTCAGTAGAGGTGTCTGTTTTATGAGCCTTAGGTTGGTCTTGGGATACAGAGTTGCCTTGACATTTCCAAGCATCAGAAAGGATAAGCTAGTAAGCTTCTCCAGGTAGACTGGAGTACACAGGAGGCTGTATTGATGCAAATGTGCTGCTGACAGAAAGCATGAGCTTCCAAGGGAGTGCAAGTGTGGGACTAGGCTGAGAGAGAATTGCTTGAGAGCTGTCAGCTGAGAGGATTTCTTCTGAAAGTCAGAAGGGAAAATGTCTGTGGAACTGTGAGGTGCAATTTTCACACATCTGACCATAATGGTAGTTTCAACTTGAAATTTAGTAAAAAAGAAAACACGATAAAAATATTCACAATTAAAATAAAAAAAGGGAGTTGTAACATAAAATAGCCCACATTACAAAACATGAGCATTGCGGTTGAAGATTGTTTTCATAATATGAATATAGATTTTGTTACCTAGATACAGCCATTGATAGAGGTTGTTCGTTCTTCCTGTTGAAAAGTACATGGCTGATGTTTCTGCTTTTTGCATGAGGATGAAATGTAAAGGTGTGGGATTTTCAGAAGGCACCTAAGCTGCTTAGGCACAGGAGTTCCCCTGGAGCTCCTTCCCTAACTGACTTAGCTGTGTTCAGCTGTGCTCAATTTGTAATTTTGTGTTTTGTTTTCAGTGGAGAAATTGTCACCCCTCTAAGCAGTCAGCTACAACAGTTTTCAGCAGAGGGCCAGCAGGAACAGACAAGTGCTCCCACAACACTCTCCAAGACAATTCTTAGAGTAGCACTTGCATATGAAGAGTTAAAAACCTGGGATATTGCCTTAAAACCCAGCATCCACCTACACGAAGGCGAAAGGCCAATCTGAATGTGAGTGTGGAAGTTAAGGTGTCTTTCTGTCCCTGTCATATAGGCAAGCTTGGTTGGTTTATGCATACATGTGTGAACCTGGTTCATGAAGAAGATGAGTAGATGTTCCCTGGAGATGTTAAACAGTTTTGTATCAGCGTACTATACAAGCACTTTCTGCTTTAATAAAGCACACATCAAAGTCTATAAGTAGACATTGAAAGTATAGCAAATCTAGTAAACTTCATCAAAGGTCTTTTCCAACCTAAATGATTCTATGATTCTGTGAATGTTTACATCTTCCGCTATTTCTGACCAGAAAAGAGGATATCAGATAAAATATAGAAAGAAGAGGTTGAAAACTACTTTGAAATATGAGACTTCAATCCAGTTTCAATCTGGTACACTTAAAGTCTAAATTGAGGCAAGTCTGAATATGTTTTTATATTTGTAAGAGGAAAGCTCTTTAGATCAGATCCTCAGCTGATATAGTTTGGAATTACATCCCCTAAGCAAGGAAAGTACTGCTATTTTGCACTAGCTGAGAATCTGGCACATGATTTCATGAATGCAAGACCAGTTTCCTTTTTTTATGTTGTATGTCCTTTTCCTCCTTAAATAAGAGAATGCTATTAATCAAAAAACCCCCACTCTTTTTTCCTTCCCAAGAAGGTTTTAAACTACTCATTTTTTATGGAAGACAGAGTATGCAAGAGAGGAATTGAAGAATGTTTTTATATTTTTTTTTTTTTTCCTCCCAGCTAGTTTGATCTGTGCATTTGAAAGCACTTTGTGTCACCACTTAGTCAGTTACACCCTCTCGCTACTGCCAGTCAGTCAATTTTTTCTGTGCTTACTGCAGGGTTTTCATACAGTAAGACAGGAAAGGTGAAAAAATAAGGAAATGTACTTGCAAACAGAAATTAGCAGAAGCATCTCAGAGATATTTGAAATAGCTGAAACTACTATTAACTTCAAAAAAATGAATTTATGACAACTTTTTTTTTCCTTTGGATGGATTTTTTTGTTTGTGCTTTCTAATGTTATTTCCTATTTACTTGAAAATGTTTCTAAGCATCACAATCCACATATTGCTTCCCCTTGTGCAGAATAATATCTTACTATGTAAGTGTTCCCAGAATGAGTGGTTAACAAAATATTACTTCACATCTGTAATGCTGCTGCTGTTTAACCCTAAATAATTAAGGACTTATCTTGCAGTGATTTACTCCTGCGATTATTTACCTTTTACTGCCATACAGAGTTCTGGTGAACTTTGTGTCTGTATTTTCCTCCCACATGCAGCTTCTTTGATTTCAGGAATATAATGATGCCTTCAGGACATCAGTAGGATAATGCCTGGGGAGAGATTCATGCACAGAATTACACTAAGAGTGGGCATGAGCCTCGAGGTACTTACAGGACTTTGAATGTTCTTTTCAGAATTAACTCCGTAGTTCCACAACACAGATAATACAGGAGAGGTGCCTGAGTGGGCTTCCAAGACGTGAGTGTAAGGACAGGCTGTGGAGGGCTGGGGCAAAAGGTCGTAGCCCCCTTCTGCAGCATGCACTTGACAAACCAGCAGGGATTGGCTTCACCTTGCCTAGCTTTTGCTGTTTTAAAATAGGAAAACATCCAGGCAAAGCTAATCTCCTGATGGCAGTCACAGATTACCTGCTATCTCACCTTGAGACATGTCCATCTTCTCCATCATCTCTAGAATTGCACAGAGACAAAGGCAGATACAAACCAGATGAGACAAATTCTACTGTAGGCAATTAATGAACAAAAAATAGAAGTTTTAAGGAAGACAGTTGATCTGACAGATCCATCTGATGGTTAAAGCACCTAGATGTTGACCTCCATACTTTGAAAGATATGATGTACAACCTGATGCAGTTTTACCCTGAAAAGCCAGGCATCCTCAAATGGACACGTAAAATTAGCAGTTATGTTTTGACATGAATTTCTCTTGTGACTAAAATGGAGCCAAGTCAGCCCTCCCCTCGTAATGCTATTGTAAACATAAATGCTTTGATAGTTCTTAAAAAAGTCAAAGCTGCAATGATGAGCAATCTAGAAGAGCCCATAGAAAACATCAGTGCATTAGTTTCCAGAGCAGGGCTTGGGCAGTAAGCCATAAATGCAGAATAGGATCACTTGCTAAGGTGAAAACAAAACACGGAATAAGTTTTGATTAAGTGAGAACCATCCATCCATCCTTTGCACTAAGCAAGGATGGTCCTGTGGGAAGATTATTTTGTGATTTTTGTGATTAAAAGACTGTCTCATCATGCATACACACAAACGGGCCACATGAAGCCTTCTCAAGCAACCTTAATTCTGGAATTTCCTGATTTTTCTCTTTATCTTGGCAACTTCAATCATGTTCCTGTACTGTGGGAGTACCTAAGTGTTATTCATATCTAAAAGCAGTTTTACGGTTTATTTCTTCCTAAAAACGGGTAGTCAGATCATTATTTTTTTCCTGTCACAGCAGCTTTTCCTCACAATACAATTTAAAATTTGCTTCCAAGCTACTTCTTTCCTGTTTACTAAATGCTTTTTTCCCTTTTCTGCTTTCAACAAATATTTGCTTTTTCCTCCCCCTCTTCTTCCTGCATTGGTGCTGCACATTGTTTGTTACTGCCCAGCTCTCCAATAGCACTGAACTAGTGGTATCATTTTATTTGCAAAAGAAAAGCAGTGAAGCATTTGTTTTGAAAAGAAAGGCTTAGGTAAAAACTCCCAAAAGCACAATCTTAGCAAACTATGTACAGTGCATAAAAGGCATGTATAATTAAGAAGGTAAATGCCCTGTTCATGGAAAGGTAGTTTAGTAACTCTTTCTATGTTTCTTGGTTTGCAAGTCTATCTTTCTCATCTCTTCTCCATAAGGACTTTCTTCTCAGCTCCTCCTGTGTGGTAGTGAGCCATTCAAGATGTCCTACACGCCTGCAATTGCATGGCTGTTGTTGGCAGAACTGACAAGTGATACCTGTGTATGCAACTGTGCTCAGAGGCAGAAGGAACCTGGTTCCTAATTCTGACAATGGGCCTGACTCAGTACATGTTTGGGAGAGTCATTTCACCTTTGAGTGTCTCGGTC